AAATAACTATCGCATTGAACTTCTGATGTGTTAGCTTTCGATTTATATAAAAAATATTGGTACATCTAAGTCGACCCTCTCTATTTTTTGCGACCCAAACACGGGTGAGTCCATGTTGCATAAAGAAGTGCATTTATTAAGTTTCAACAAATAAGGAAAATGTGGGGAGGTGTAATTAATTTTCTTGAAATTCTCTTGGGAAGAAACATAGCACCAAATATTGAGATAATTTTTCAAAAATGTAAAAAAATGCTGTCTTTTATAGAAACTAAGATATTTGAGAGGAGAACTCAAATACTATTTTACTATTCGCGGATTGGCGTAACAGGTCATACTCGAGAATTGTGTTTACAAGATGTGAAAAGATGACGACCTGAGTGTTACGTTCAAGTGCAATTGCATCACGCAACGAGTGGGTGTGGCTCTTACTCAATAGAGTAAAGTCTCCCCACGTTCATTGGCAGCCGCTGTAACAGCAGAAGACCACACCTTTCTCTTTGAACTTTTCATCAGTCGTGATGTGCGTAAAAAGACAAGATATCCTTTATTACGCTTGAGATAAAGTTATCTTTTCAACACAATAAACACTGAATATTTGTGCTTTGCAAACTTCCTAGTATCAAATGACTAGTTATGCACGTTCTTTTGCATATCTTTCATAATAAATTCTTGTAAGAGATTAGTCACGATCGTCAGATTATTGGATAGTGGAAAAACTAATAGCCTAACTTCCAAGTTGAAAGAAGTTTTGGCATTAGTACACGAATAACCTTACTACTTCCAACTTATACAATGTCTAGGCGCAAACTGCACCTCCGAACATCAGACTAAATCAGGAAGTGTCACTGTGTCCTACTTCGATGACCCACCCGGTAAGCTTCGATGTAAAGAAACATCAGTATGATATTTTTGCTGAAAGATAATTCATTCCTCGTTTTATGTTGGCTCATATACGTCAGTTATTAAAAAGCAGATATCTTTGAAGATATATATGTATGATATATCTATGATGTGCGGATATAAGTCGCTTTTCAACGTGGTCATATAACGACCACTGTGACACATACTGACTGACTAAGCTGCAGGGAGAACACGTATGGACAATACAAACATACACAAACATACAAACATCAATGTCCAGGGCGGGATTCGAACGCACGGGACGACCCTACGACCCGACGAAGCTACGACCCTTCAGCTTTAAGTCTGGATTTCCAGGCCTGCCATCACAAATATTTTTGTATATCACATATCTGCTATCACATATATTTTTCTGCAGGATGTTATGTGCTGGATGTCTTGTGTTAGGTGAGTAGTTTTATATCAATAACGTCTAGACGGTCAAAGTGATATTGAATGAAGATATGTTTGACCTTCAAGCATGAGCATTATTATCAATTCATGACAATTTAGGCCTGATCAGTATACGTGTTCCACGAAAGTAGGTTTAGGACGTGGCTTCATCAAAGTGCTTCCCATTCTCACTATTATATTTCACACAAAAAATGTCGATGAATCGGTGAGAGTCAGCTCATTAGTGTGCGTTGTGCGAAGAAAAGCTCTTGGACCAAAGCCAACGTAAATAAACAGATGCGGTAGCCTTTCACGAACCTTGAATACATTGACCTTGAATCACAGGAGACGGTGCACCTTAAAGAGATTTGTACTCGGTATCTAAACTGCATTCGTGAACAAATACAATTTTTGTTGCGAGGGGTGGCAAGATACTCCTTGTTCTGACATGGTAATATTTTACACAAATACTCCTTTGGGCCTGATTGATATTTTTTGTCTTGTAATCTTATGCAATCTTGGTGCAGTCACAGATAAAGGGATTGTTTTCCGTGTTGTTTAAATAATCTTCCTATTTTTTTTTCTTTTCCTGACTTCTTCCCGCAGCAATGGATCTCGCCACTACTCCGTATTTCAATTCAGCATCCTTCGATGATTTCTCTTCCTTTCTTTTCAATATTCGTTTTGAATTTGCGTTTCTTCGATCTCTTCTTTGACGATGTTCAACGGAATCTTGTTTTTGCTTTGGTCACCTTCAATTTTTACATCGTATTTCTAGATATCTTGTCTTTCCCTCGTTTCTTCTTCTCCTATTTGGTAACAATAACGTCTAGAAAGTGAAATAAGGACCACACTCACTTTGTGGAAATAATATTCTCAATGCCAAGGTTGGAGAGCTGTTTGTGAGAAACATTGTAGTGCAGGATGTTAAGAAATTCTTGGAATGGCTGGGAAGTTTAGTAACAGCAATGTCTTGACGGTAAAAGAGTGATATTTAACGAAATGTTTGATCTACAATCATTTACAACATTACAACTATCAACAACTTACGGTCTTAAGCAGAAAATCGTTTTCTTCTTCTTTGCCTTTGTCGTCTTCCCATCACCTGGGGATCGCGTACGTCATTAGAATCCTCAAAATTGATACAATATTTTGTCTAATATTTATCAGACTACATTTTTTTGCAAAATATATGTCTTATGAGAATATTATTTATTTTAGTCAAAATGTTAAAAATGCGTATAAAATTCAACTCTCTCTTTTATTAAGATATACAAAGGTACTCTTTTGCACGTGCCCCTGCAAGCGCTACAGAAAAGTACTTTAATTCTATTTATCAGGTTAAAAAAAGTGTATAGTAAGTATGATTCTGTAGTACCTCATTATCACCTGCAAGTCATACAAATATTTTACCTACTCTCCTTGTCACTCCGGACAGAGGTGTCAGCAAAACTACAAGTGTTTGTCGTGACGTCACCTAATTTGTATTTTGTATTTTACTAAAAATTGGAATAAAATTAGGATAGATTAGGATATTACATACGACAGTAAATATAATTTATCCGTTCGAGAAAGACGCATCATTAACTGTTACACCCAACTCATGAGGTAATATCTTTCTCTTCGAGATTAAGGATGTCTTTAATAACTTGTTTAATGAATTATTATTCCAGGCGCATTTCCTTTTTTGGAGGGATTTTAATACCTTATCGAAACGAATCGATTCCAGCGTCACGAGATCGGAGAACGAAAGCGAAGAACAACTGGCAGGAAAGAGAACGTTCTATTTCGTAGTTGAGAAGAAACTTGCGCGTTTTGCTTGATTAAAAAAGTATTTTGGCATAAATGCTTGGGAAATTGCGAGTTGGACAGACTCAAAGGCGCTTTATGTTAATCACTGAAAATTGGAACGCCGTCATGAAATTGGTCTCGCGTAGCGAAGCGTCAATTCGCCTTAAATTTCTGAGGTAAGAAATACGCTAGGACGCTCGCGTTTTCGCGGAGTTCTCGCGGAAATGAGCCGATTTTTTCACGTTCATGATGAGGAAGAAGACTTGTAATTTGTAAACTGTATTTTATCATGTCTCCTTCCACGACAGTTCGTTCCCTGTCGCGGTGGTGGTGTAACGGTTAACGTATCGGACTGTTGTATCCAATTTGGCGGGTTCAAACCCGAAGCGAAAAAATCCTTCGTACGCTTTCCTTCGGAGTGGAAGTAAAGCCGACTGTCCCATGTTAGTAGATTTACTTGGATGTTAAAGATCATCAAGCCTAAATGACGCCTCTGAGCTGAATTTAAATCGCCTGTTTCGCCGCCCAAGAAATACCTCCTTTCTCTACTAGTGGGTGAAAGGAGGTAGCGAAATTTGCGTGGTCATGCGGAAGAGAAGACCTGAGTCTCGCCACGTAAAATAAGGCATTAATTCAATTCCATTCCCTGTGTGATGCCATTGCTTCCGTTGCTGCGTTGCAGGCGACGCGTGCCAGGGCCGCGGCGGGGCGCCGGGCGTGTGCCGCAGCATCAACGACTGCCCCGAGGCGCGCGCGGCGCTGCTCAAGGGCGAGCCGCCGGTCGTGTGCTCCTACGCGTCTTTCACGTCATCGTGTTGCTCCCCGCCTCCAGCCCACCCCCACCCACCGCCCGCAAGCCCCAACTCCCCAAGCCCAACCCCGCCACCGGCTCTCCACTACGCTAGAGATACTTCACCAAGCCACTAACAAGTTATATTAAAATGTTTGTTGCTTCCCAACAGTAGACTGTTTAAATAATTGTGTAAATATTATTATGGTTATTAGTATTAATATTATTAATAGGAGAACTAGAATAAAAATTATTATTAGTATTATTATATGTATTTAAACCTTTGGTTTCTTTCCGGATACTCACTTATCTGTATTTGTATATTTTGGCAGAAATTATAATTTTGAATGCAGTTTTTCAAATTAATTATATTGATATTCATTCTGTATGTCCCCTGGAGTGAACCAGCTTAGTTTCCTACTAGTAATGTCAGCATGTGTCATTTACTCTTCTCCAATCGTTAATTCTAACATTACACATAAATTTGTGCATGTTCTTAAATTTTGCGGTGATTCAAACGTAATGTACAATAACTGTTGTTGCATATAAATTGCTTTATCTAAACATGTAATTCTAATTCAAAAATTTTCAAAACGCAAGAGGTTAATATTAAATATATAATGACGTCGGCTTCTTGCTTGGGGTCTTGCTTTAGCATTTCACATATGACGTAAGCAGTGACGTAAGCAGTGATTATCAGAATTCAGTCGCTAAGTGCATATAAGAATGGGCGAAATAACACAATTAAATATTTACATTTTTAGTAAAAATCCAAATTGTATTGTGGTATTGGGATTTTTCTTGAGTTCTTGATTATCTAGCGAAACCATACACACTCCTCACACGACCAGAGATTGTCATATTTTCTTTAAATTTCTACGTGTCCAAAATAAATATCATATAATATATTATAATATAAATGACAATCAGGAAAGAAAAATATCTCACTCGCTTTCTATTCATTAGTAAAAAGTGTGTAAACATTTAGTATGAAAACATTTTTCTCTAGTAGATAAAAAAATTCTTTGGCTGTTAATGTAATAAATTGCAATTTACATTATTCCATAAGTTCTTCGCGATTGGTTGGATGGTTCCGCGGTCTCTAACTGGTTTCGTCGTGTTGCAGAGTGCGCCAAGTACGCGGAGGCGGTGTACAGGTACGAGAAGACGTTCCACATCCCGCCGCAGACGGTGAAGGTGGATCAGTGCGCCATCAAGGGCGTGCCGTTCATCGTGGGAGGCGAGCAGGCCAGCTCCGACGAGTTCCCGCACATGGTGAGTGGGCTCGCCCCGACTTTTCCTCAGTAAGAAGTTGGCTGCAGACCGACCCGTTTCACTTTCTCACTTACGTAGTGTGACGTGACGGCAAATTATGTGCAAAAAGGGAGAAATATCCAAAGAAATATTTCAGAAACTTTTGGTGGTATTGGTTAAACTTTTATGAATATATTGCTCATTTACAACCGACAAAGTTGAAAATAATATGCAGAAATATTCACTGTATATTGACAATAAATTTAAAAAAATAACTATTCAATATAACAGTACATTATTATATTGAATTAACATTTCACTAAATTGATACGCATGGATACTTCATTAAATTTAATTACCACTTAACGTCTGGGGAAACTAGGCAGAAATGTTGAGTTTGAAATACAATTTTCTCAAAACTTTCAATCATATTGTTTTTTATATTGTTTATTCTTTGTCATCACTTGAATGTGACTTTAACAACGTTTACGTGTAAGCTGAGTGCCCGTATGTGCCCCTGAGCGCGGTGTGTGCGCAGGCGCTGTTGGGCTACGGAGACAACGCTCAGCAGCCCGAGTGGGCGTGCGGGGGCTCCCTGGTGAGCGAGCGCTTCGTGCTCACCGCCGCCCACTGCATCTTCACTTCGCTGTGAGTACCATCGCGGTTCGCTGTCGCTGCTTCGCGGATAGCTCCCAACGAGCTTTCTCTGGGTTCAAACCAGGCCATTTCTAGGTGGAATTTTCGGTGAATATAGATATCTGGCGGTTATGTTCCAACGGGTGCTCCATGTTTCGCGAATTCTATAATTCAATGATATCATCTTCTCATTATGTTGTTCTTTAATCGCCGTGTACGAGCATATTTGGCAGAGGATGTTGTTATAAATTAATAACAATATAAATTACAGTTTTTTTTTACTTTTCAGTGATGCTAAACTACGGTTTTTGGTAATTATGTTATATAAATACAATCTGACTCGGAAAGTAGAAAATCATTTTTATATAACTGTCACAGAAAGCGTATAAGTTCAGATCGTTGATTTATTATAATAGTTTTTATTATAATATTTTCAGCAATCATTAACTTATGAACAGAATATTTATGGAACAAAAAGTTAAAACCCCATTTTATATCCAGAAATATGACTTAATGGGATCTCTTCTTCCCCTCTCTTTAAAAAAGGGTGCTCAAGTAAGAGTAGGTTCACCCAAAACATCGTAGTACCTGACTGCTTACTGTGGCTCGCATTGGGATGAGAGACGATCGGCTGAGATCGGCTCTAGTATAGTGAAAGGCGAGTGGAAAGCGTGCCACTGCAGCGGGCAGTCTGGTTCCAATTCTGACATTTGATGAGCTCTGAACTAAACCGTATCAGCTAGTGGTACTAATCCGCTCATCCACTGTTCGCGAACTGGCTGAGAAGGCTCAGGGCAGAACTATTACCACTGCAGTGCCTCTCAACAGGTGGACCTACGAGTCCGACAGAGGCGGATTTAAACACTAGCCAAATTGAACATTCAGATCGAATTGAACAGCTGTCTTGTATGATCGGTGTTTCCGTAGTTTCTCCGATCAGTCTCAGGCGAATGCCGGGGAAGAACATTAATAAATGAACTACGAACAGCGCACGATCTTCTCTTTCTCCTCCCTTTACCTTCCTATAAACGAATACACACTCAAACATACACTACATGCACTGCACTACTCCACAAATGCGGGGAGAGCAATCGGCAGCATAGTTAGAGCTTGTCTCGGCTGGGGCGGTGCCCCACAGGCAAAAACATCTGAAGGGGGGACCCCGCAACCCGACGTTTAGGTTGGCGCCGGATGTCATGTTCCACTGGGAAGAGCATCGCACTTACGGGACTAACGAGCGTAGACGTTGACGTGCCTGGAAACCCGAAATATCAACGCATTTACCTAAATCGCCTTCGCTTTTGGCCCTGAACCGCGCATCCTCTGTCGGCAGGGGCAGCCCCAAGGTGGTGCGCCTGGGGGAGCTGAACCTGAAGACGACCAAGGAGACGAACAGGCACGAGGACTTCGCCGTGGCGCAGAGCATCCCGCACCCCGAGTACAAGGACGGCGTCTACTACAACGACCTGGGGCTGCTGCGCCTGGCCAGGGACGCCACCTTCACCGCCTCCATCCGGCCCGCCTGCCTGCACACCACCAAGGAGACGGGCGCCGAGGCCATCGCTAGCGGGTGGGGCTACACCGACTGGGGTGAGGCCAGCCACTCAATACGTAACACAACTCCCTCTTCCGTACACATGATAACTAAGCAGTATTAAAAATATACGTGAATTGTGGTCCGACAACAGGATTTTGTCGTAGTGTTTGTGAATGAATTCAATGGAGTTGGAGGGTCCGATAACGACAATCCAAAATTTTGGTATTGATGAGTGAACTGACGTTAGAAAATATTTATGGAGAGTGATTTTTTTAATGAAGAATCATAAAGCTTCACGCAGAGAATGGTATAAGGGTTGAAAAATTGATACCCGTAAATCAAATTGTTTAATGGTATCTTGTTATAGCAGAATTCCGAAATCATAATTTTATGTCTTGCGTTCACATTTTCGTTTGTCGTAAAACACTTACGTTTCTCCCTAGAGTTGATCAAAATGTACGACTTTCAATAGTATAGTTAAAATAGAACCTGTCACGCTTTTCGAAATATAAATATGGGGTATCTTAAGGTTTTAAGCGGGTAAGCAACTATAAATACCAGATTACCCAAGAAGAAATTGAATTTTAGAATAGGACAACGTTCGTTCGTAAAATAACTCGCGATTTTTGGTTATATATGAGAGTAATACGTTCATTTGGCGTATTTAATGAAATGAGTGAATCAACTATATTAACACCCTTCATAATATTACCTAGCACCATTTGTTTTATTGAAACTGTTATAATTCTTTGGTTTCATGTTTTCAAAATATTGAACTAGAAAACATCATTTGTGTAACTTTAAAAAAATGAGAATTTCGAATTTTCACTTACTTGTATCAACGCAAAATTAAATATCGCTTTACCATTTTGCATCATATATTTATAATTTCCTTTCATTCACTTATCGTTCATTTACATGAAATATTTAAAGGCTTCATAACAGGGTTGGAATGATTTAAAATGTTCTTCATACAAACTATGAATTTGAAAGTTTTTTCATATTCTTTGCAGCTACACCTGAAATCACTGAACATCTTATGAAAGTGAAACTACCCATTCAGAAGACAGAAATCTGCAAGAACTCGTACAAGACCCTGGCTACAACATCTCGCCTTCGAAATGGCATCTCTGAAGATTCAATGGTGTGCGCGGGAACACTACAAGGTGGCAAAGATACATGCAGGGTAAGGCATAATTTCATGTTTTTTTAAAATTATTTTATTTACCAACGAGCTAAACGTATTTGTATACTGTAAACTGTTCATTTTGCCTTTAGGAAGTAGACTGTTAGCGTGACCCAAAGAGATCCAGCGATCTGATATTATACATTACTATGTTAACCCTATTTCATATCATGAAATAAATCTACAAATATTTGTGTTTTTAATATGAACCTCTAAGAGATTTTTTTTAGTTTTTGAGAAATTGCTAAAATGTAATACAAAAGTTGGTTGTATAAATATGTGCCATCCTATTAGAAAATATCTAGAAAGTTATGACAGCTAAAAAGTGAGAATGCAAATGTCACAAAATGTATTTATGATTGTGAGAGTATTATCCAGGTAGTGTAATGCATTATATTTTTTCTTTATATAATTTTGAAATTTAATATTAAAGTGCGTCATTAATCATAAGGAACAGATGCAGTTGCTAAAAATATTTCAGTTTATCTTAGCGATAAATGAAGAATACTACTTAAATAAAAATGGCAGAACAAAGTTTTCACAACTGTGGATGTGAAAACACACGAAGTGCAATAAGTCTGACGGATGATATAAAATGTTTGCCATGCCTTGCAAAACGACGCTTGAAGATACAAACTATGAATGTTATGATAATTTAGCCAAGAAACACAAGACTCGATTGGTGTAGAAAATAATTACCCACGACTCTGTTGTTAATAGCAGTTAGTGTTTTTATGAAGCTAATTATTTTACATATAAATTCTTCATTGCGTTCTTTATAACACTATTCTTATGAAAAAATCGATTAAACTGGGAAGCTTTGTTATTCTCTTCCCCAAAGTGTTCAATGTCTGTACGTTACAAAGAATTATTACATTATCTATTATGAAAAAGGAATCTCTGGGATAAACCCATGCTAAATATTTAATCTACAACACGATTTACAAGAAGAGGATTATTTCAGACTTTTTCATGGTTTATTCAGTAATTAAGACTGGTAAAGAAACAAACACGTCAAACACATTACACTCCTTAAGGTCACCTTACCCCTCCAGATGAAATAAACTATATTTACTTAGTCATTTTATTGAGTTTAAAACAAGATTATGCATAGTATACACTCCCACGCCGCTTCCACTCGGCTTGATTTTTTTATTGATCATACAAAAACTGTGGAGAAGTTAAAATTTGATGAGGATGGAGACGACTCGTCAAGTTCTCGATGAAAAAATATTGTTCTTTCGGTGGCTGTTGATTATCATGTGGTTCATAGACTGCCTGAGTGGCACAACTTAAGAAAACAGGTGCTGAGATAAATTAATTCGAGCATTTCACCTTCAATTGAAATGTAGAATTCTAGCATTTCCAATTTTGCCATTTGTTGGAGGAATACTATATTGTAAAATGTTGCTATTCCTTCTGGAAGAGAGACCAATTTGCAAATCTAGAGGGCGTTACCTCAAAATTCCTATTTTTTGTACATGTGCCTCTATTGCAGCCCATATGGAATATATTTTGATTCAAATATAGCACGATTTACAATGCAGTAACTGCAACGATCGGTCTGTTACAGGGTGACTCGGGCGGACCTCTCCAGATGAGGATGACAACGCAGTACTGCATGTACAGCCTGGTGGGCGTCACTTCCTTCGGGAAAGGCAACTGCGGGACCAGCAAGTCTCCGGCCATCTACACTCGCGTCTCGTATTTCGTGCAGTGGATTGAGAGCGTGGTGTGGCCCGACGAGAAGTAAAGATGCAGAGACAAAGCTGTTGGCAGTGACTAAGTGGCGATTATAACAGGTTATGGAAGGAACTTTAATATTTGGAGACTGATGTACTCGTGAAATCTTGATGTTTTAAGTGTGTATTGTAACAAATATGTGAATGTGATTATTTATTTATGTGTGTCGAATAACTAGTCTGTAATAAATACAATCTTTAATTAGTAAAAATTACTGTATGCCAATTATCATTGTAGATGTAAATGACAAGCATTTGTCAAAACAATGAACTAATTTCATTGACAATTCAGTATCTAGACGCTCTCACATACTTCTAATTTTAAATCAAATAATTCGAAGATATACAACCTCTAATAAAAATGTGGATTTTTTATTTTGGAAAAAAATCACAGATCAACAGCGGAAAAGTATTGTATAAATGTTTTGGTGAACTTTACGTTACCCTTAAGTAAATTTCCATGGAAAAAATTCATAATTAAAAGAATACCTGACCTTGTAGATTTTTTAAAAAAAATTACACTGAAATAAGCAGGTTCAGTTTAAAAAATAGATTCAGAAATGTTATATAAATAGTGTAAATGTTTCTTAAGATGGAATATAAAGAATGTAATTTTATATAAAAATATTATGTACCGGAAAAGTGGGTCCAGCGAGACAGTAAAAACCGCCAGACATTTAGTATAAATTTGAGGAAGATTTGGGTTGAGTGGTTAGTAGTATACCTAATGGGGATATTTTAGACATTTATGTATACTCTGTGCTTCCTATGTTGCTGTTTCAAGACTGCTGCTGAGTTTCTGTTAAAATATTTCATTGTTCAGAGATAAGAGAGTAATTTTTTACTTAATTTCTACTACATTTCTTTCAGTAAGACGTGCAGTATTGATCGAATTTCATTCTATAACCCGAAAGCACGTAATTTCAACAAAATACTGATCATGTGGATATGAATATTATTACCAATTATGAATCTAGAAGGTCACTTAGACATGTTATGCATTTGGGAACAGTAAACAAACACATGTTAGTCATTATTATTACTCATTGTATTACAAATACATTATGTATGTATTTGGGAACAGTAAAACATTAAAGGAGGAGAAACAATGAGACATATCTCACTGTTCCCAATGTATGAATTTTTCATTCTGATTACTTGTGATTCGCTTCATAAACTAAGTTAACAGTATTCATAAATCATTAAACATATATACTAACGATGTCGAAAACATGGAGAGACCGCTGATCATAGTTGATTATGTTTTAGTGGAGTTTAAGACAACAAAACAATAATACATTATATACGGAAAATTCTGTCTGTAAATGAGTCATTTGAATGTCTCATTCTGACTCAACAAACTGACCAAAGTTAATACAAAATTTGAATGCGAAGAAATTTTTATAGGAAAAGTTTGAAACTAGAAAACAAGTTTGTAATGCCTGTTGTTCTGGACATTTCTTTCCTTGACAAGGAATTAATAAAAAGCTGTTGCCTAACCTCACAACACATTGGAAGGCAAAAAGAACAATCTGCTATTTCATTTCATATAGGTTTTTCTCATTGTTCTTACTAGTCACATCTCACTCTTCCAATCATTAGATTCTCAATGGTACAGCGAGGCAATTTAATTTTCAAATTTTTAATGCTTTTGCAATTGATTGTGGTAAATCGGTTAATGTAGTCAGATATATGCCATGAATTGCACAAAAAATTGAGAAGATACAATATTTTCTTTCAGTGTCCAATTTATTATTATTTTTTTGCGTTTCACCGCTTCCACTTTTCCCCTATACCAAAGTCATTATTTAGACACAAATTTCTAGGTAATCCCTAATTTTTCATGTAATTAGAAGATTTAGAAGTTGCTTCTTTATCCAAGGTTCGCCTGCAATTTCCATTATGAGTTGGATTTTGTTGTTGCAATCACGGTGAAATTCCGTCCTTCAGAGATTGTATGAACGATCGACAAATGTTAATGCAAACTTCTGTATTGGAAGGAAACAAATATATGTTTATTGATTTATACATAAATACACATATGTATTTATATTTCGTGTACGAAAAAGTGAAAATATTGAACAACAAAGTCATGATCATTATAAATTACGAGCGTTTTTAAGTTCAGGAATGAAAAACCACCCTTAAAATAGTCTGTCAGTAAAGCCAGAAAAATACTGCATAAACCAGAAGTAACTTGTCCACTTTTATCATCTATTTATTTCTGCTGCAACATATATTTTAACATCGGAGTAGATGAGTGGATTATCTTGCATGTGTGATTTTTTCCATCCACTAATTAATGTTTCATTTCCCTTTCTCTTCTTCTCTTACGTGCAAAATATCTTCTGTCCCGTGTACATTACTACTTTCAACTACAAGCATACTCCAAATTCACATTTTGTAATTGGAATTATTGAAACATCACCAATCTTTACTTATTTCCGGGGTCTGATTCCCCACAAAGAAACATTACCACTTAAATAATATGCGGAATGAAGATCGACTAGATGATGAAATGAGAGACAGGAGAAACTGAAGAACTCTCCCGAAACTTGACATAAATCCGCTTTGCCCAACACAAATTCCACATGCACCGGCTGGGATGTGGATAACAGTTCCTGGAGCAGAAGGATTTCGGGGGTTCGCTACGCTACACGGTGCTCTTCGGAGGTTCCTCCTAACTCCCTTCGGAGGTTCTTGGTTTTATATTCCGTGCAACTTATTTATGACCAATTTATTACAATAGCGTCAACAACAATGCATCTTAAATGTAAATAAAATTTATTAATGCTGAATGTAAGTGACTCTCATATTATATTCTCCCTTATGAAAATTTAGCTATTGGGAAATGAGATGGGAAAGTTCGGGAGTATCATAACAAACACCACCAATAACACTGCCACCACAAATTTCAGTCCCATTGATCAATCCCGTGTCAATCGCATGGATCGACCGGGTATTTCACACGTATAGGCGCAGTGGAAAGTGAGTGGTCTTGCACCCACAACGAAGTTATTAGATGTTGCTGGCTGTAGGTCTTGAATGAAAATAATGTAGTATAACAATGTATATTAATTTGCAATGCGCACAGCAATTTAAAAACACCAACAATAAAACACAAACTTCGCAGTCTTCGTTTTTGTAAGAAGTATATATAATACCCAAGAACAAAGGGAAAATCGAAAAACCAAGAAACAGTTTGATTTGGACTGGATAATGCAAATTGTTAATTGTTTTTTCCTGCCTATTCTCTTTCCGCACGTACGGTCTGACATCTCATACTCAGTGCGTCACTGCTTAAGTAATGAGGCAGCAAGGCGGCTCCAAGAAAGAGGCCGTCCGAGATTAAATATTTTATATTAACGTGCTGCTTTTTTGTACACGAACATTTTAAATATATTTTTGATATGTAAAAAACCGTTGTTCTGAGTAGTGGTACATATTATGCTAAGTTATTGCAGAATTTGCGATGATTATTTTTGTTAAAATGTTTTATTTATTACAGTGCTGCGCAAAAGTGTTACATTTAGTGATCTTGACCAACGTTTGTGCTACTTTTTTGTAAACAATTTTACGTGGTTTTGATCAACAGAAATTTGGCTTCTCGCCTGCCCCACTCCTATGTTCCAGAACGGCTCTTATTGACTCCGCAATTAGGCCAAATATTCTCATTCTGGGGTGGGGGTGGGCGGTCTACTACAGCGCCAACACATCCATGGTGAAGAGACTATTAGTTCACTACAATATATAAGATAGTTAAAATTTTGTCACTTTGCAAGGCTTCCAATAATCATTTATGTTTCCATGCATGAGTGCTAAAATCAACTTGGGCAGCAATAATTGTTCGAATTACATACGAAGAGAACATCCTGTGTGATGATTCGGCTCGTTTCTGTCCACCTGCAAAACCACTGTTAATTGCTGAAGAGAATGGATCATTTTTCTCGCGGTCATTTGAACCGTGCACGCTCGGACACAATGGTGCAAGCTCTGAAGGCGGGTTGAAGTCGCTTTGATTGATTGTTTAGTGATTCCGGGCACTTCAACTACCAGGGCATTGCCCCGTAAGTGTAGTGCATGTTTTTTGTTTGGGAGGTGGCAGTAATCTTTCCTCCACTGTATGGCAAGATGTGGCGCCGACTTTATAATTACATTATTGGTAGGCATACACCTGTGTCCGAGAACGAAGTTGGTGTTAAATCTTTTGAGGCAACATACGTAGACAATTGCTAGGTAACATTTCAGATTCACTATCTTCTTCACTTTTAGACATCGCGTGTTAACACACTTTTTGCTATTGAAAATGTTATCTTCAACCTCATTTTTAAAACGCAATCACATGCAGGACTTACAAAACATCTCTGAAATTAGCCAAAGGTTTGTTGGAAATATGGTTCTATAAGAAAGGGTAAAATATAGTATTGGTCGGAAAATGTGTTGGAATTTTTCTGTGATTATGTGCATTGAAATAATTCAGAACACTATTTGTTTATGAGGTATAATAGCAAATGTATATAAATATAAAATGTGCCGTTTTCTGTTATAATCACTTTACTCATGCCGAATGTCAGCTATAAATAGAATAAAGGTAGTGACTACTAACTACTACTAACTGAAGCTAAAGCTGCAGCGTAAGGTTGCCGTCAGAAGCAACTGTTTTCCATGGCATTTGCCAGGCGTTCGATAAGGTTTGGCACTCTCATCTAAAACTACAAAATGCATCAACTAGAAGTCCTGGAGTGTCCTAAAATCCACAATTACCGGAGGTGTTCCACGAGTAACGTTTATATTACCCACCTATCTCAACGTTTTTGGTTACGATTTTCGAAATAATTGTAACTACAAATTATACAATGACACTAGCTGTACCCACATTTCACAACTAGAACTTTATTTGGACCCCAAAATGGGGAATCAATATAAACCTCGGCTAAGATTTCACCTTATGCCGCCAGAAGATTATATTGAATAAAACTTTCAGGAATATAACATACCGTAAGACAGCCCCTCCACATGGTAAAATACGTTCGTCTCAAATAAGTAAGAGGTAAAATATATACTTAATAAAATACAAAGATGGGTGGGACCTCTTCAGTTAATATTAGGTGGACTAGTAAAAAATATTAAAAATACCAAAACTAATTCGTTTTATGTAATGCACGGTCTAAAGGGAAATTCGTTATAAAAAATAATTAAATGTATCTTTCATAACTTACGCATATCGTCGTTTGGGGTGAGAACTGCTTTCTCCCTTAGAAATATCCAAAAAGATTAAGCAATAATTCCAATCAAATATTTCAGAACTCAAATACTCCGTGATACCAATATGCAAATTCAAAGAACAAAATATTCTTTCTTTAATAGCACGCATAACCAAAAGTCATATTCAAGCTACAGTAATATCAAAGACAGCCAATGATACAGAAATTGAAACCTTGTTAAAACTTTAAAATTCGTTTTCAGAAGCGAGTTTGAATTTTTTAACGTCATCGTAACTACTTAGATTACATTACTCGTACATTAGTGAAAAATCACTGCTTAAAGGTTGGATATTCCCAAAATCGATATACGATGGGAATATACACACTCGAGGGCAAATTTGCCGATTTATAAAAATAAATTAAAAAAATTATCCATAATCCACATGTTGCGTATTTCTAAATAGGAATAATTAGATAAGATAATGTTTTGCAATCGATGTCATCGTATCAGCATGTCATCAACAAAAATATCTGCAACTTACAAAGCGAAGAATTACTCCATTTCTGTCATTTCTATTCAAAACACAAGCACATATCATTAACACTGGATCTCAAAGTCGTAAATGTTACAAACAACATCACCAACCACCAGTACGAAAACGAGGAAAATCAACGCAAAGCTACGAGCACTTTCCTGTCCCACATCACCGTCATTTCGCCAGACGGATCGGTCAAATGCCACTTCATCATTGGGCACTGCAGGAGGCAGCCATAAGCATGCGGGCAGGTGCATTCTATAAGAGTTCTGGGGCGCTGCGCGTAGCAATATTCGGTGAAACGCAGGGCAATGGCGTCCCGGACCTTCTTCGCCCTCCTGGTGGCGCTGCTGGCAGCCTGCGCGACCACAGCTCCCTCTGAGAGGAAGGAGGGTGAGTGGGATCCTTAAACGCCTACATTGCGGGTTAAAGAAGCTTAATAACTCGCCATTCCGATTTAACGTATCGATTCCAGCGGGTTGCATCGCACTCTTCAGACCAGTAAAAGAGGGCGGAGATAAATTTATTCATCAATCAATTTAGAAAATGTGTTCGTAAGAGAAGTAATTTTCTATTTCAGACGTATTTGTTTACTTGTTTGTCTATCTACAAAAACAAACAAGTCAGAATACGACATTTAAGAAGGGAATATAAGTTACATTTTAAAAATTCTGAAGCAAGGTAAGGGACAATTACAATTCCTCTGTGAATGAAGAGAAATTGAGCGAAAACCCAATGGACGTACGATTAACATAGTTTGCTAAATACATTTGTTCACGTATGTATTTCAAATATTCTCTAAAGACCTCTCACAATATTGCTTGTAGAAATAATTAATAATTTCTTGAACAATAACGCACATGATTTGTTTACAACACTTCCGAAGTATCTCAAACATTCCTCTCCCTTCGCATCGGCCGAGATAGCTCAACTGCAACATCGTTGACACTGCAGCATCGTTAATCGGAAGGTCTTAGGGTTTGAGTTACGAGGGTTACGGATTTCCACATTAATTAAATAGATGGGTCGAATTTTACCACTGACTAGAAGAGAATTCTAGCGGACGGCTACTCTAATGGAAGCTTCTGTTTTTTTCTATCAATAGTAGGCGAATAATGGGCGCCGGATCGGAACCTTAACACACTGGTCACGAATCGTGCGCGATCTTCGCTTGCTCATTCTTGTTGCCTAATTTCCCCTGGCAGTTACAAACACCCCCTCACATGTCGGAAGGCTGTTGGGAGCTTAGAGCTGGTTGGGACCAAACAAAGAAAGCAAAGAGGTCGTGCGGAATGGAAACCCAGCAAGTCGAGTTGTAGATCGGCGCTGCATCCATTATCAGCTATTCCTGCGGGACAGAGACACCTACCCCTATCCGGGCGGTAATATGCACCACAATTACGACCTCAGTAGCTGATGTGAGCGGAATAAGGTGGGAGAAACAATTGGAAGCAGACCGTCACCACCCAGTAACAACATGCACTGTACTAACGGGAATAACATCAGTAGTTGATGTGACCGCAAGCAAGTTCGACAAATCCTTGGAGGGAGATCGTTATCTCCTGGTAGTAACTACCACTGCACTTACGGGACGAATATCCTCCGTTGCCACCGCGTAGCCAATACCCTCTCGCTCACCCTGTCTCTTTGTGGCAGGCGAGGCGTGCTCATGGCGAGGCGGCGCTGGGGAGTGCCGTTTCGTCGAGGACTGCCCAGAGGTGCGGGTGATGTTGAAAGAGGGAGAAGTGCCCGAGACCTGCTCCTTCGTCGCCTTCAAGCCCGTCTTCTGCTGCCCACGCGCAGAGAGCGTAGCCACGCGCAGTGAGTCCACAAATATTTCTCACTGCAATTGTTAAAACGGAATTGTCACTAGACATTACCGTGATGATATCAATGGTATATCCTTCTTTAAACATGAATTCAATTATATAAAGTTAAAGAACATAGAGATACATTATGTGAGTAATAAAGTTACAGCTGAGAAATAGGCGGAGGTCAAGTTTTGCGGGCACGTGAATCAATGTTCTACAGAAATATGCGGTACATATTCATATTAACAGTTTTCAACGTTTTTTCTGGAGACGATTGTCGATTGGTGTGATATACCGATAATATATAAATACCTGCACAACATCATAACTTTTAGTGCTTCTATATTTATTATGTTTCTTATATGCAGTTTTATCACGAATTTGTCCTTTGTAAATAATATTAAAAATCAATGATTTTGCATTCATTAAAATTTCTCGCTTGCCCACTTTCTGATTTTGTAGTCATTATATTTCTAGTCATATAATATTTTAATAACTTCACCTATTTTACGCATTGCTGGATGCTATAGCGTTACTATTGACGACCATCATTTTTAATTTCAATTGCATTAGGTTGCTGAGAGAATCAACTGCGCGACTAGACGATAAAAAAGAAATAGATAAAATTCTAGAAATTTAGCAAAATTCGCTTCTGTCAGAAATGAAATTCTTACACCTTATTGGCTCATTATACACGAGAGGAATCATGAAATATGACTATTCTTTAAATTTCATATTCTCGATTAAATGAATTTAAGTAAAATAAAACAAAACATTAACATTTAGTAATTAATTTATATTGCGATGCAAGACAGTTTTAAGAGATCGAAAAATGTTTAAATTATACTTATAATACAAACGGCTGATAAATTAACACTGTACACTAATTCATCGGTCCACATAATTAAAACAACTCTTCTTAAAACGTTAAACAGTGTTTAACATTTTGAGTTTAATGTTGAAACATTTGTCAAAAGTATTTGCAATTTACCATTATCAGACTGTACATACTACGTAGTTGGAGTTGGGACCCTCATCTGTAATTATCATTCTTAGATCAACATAAAATATTTTATTATATAATTTCCAAGAACGTGATTACGAAATCACTCTTCGAAATAAAATCAAATTAGCTTAGACCCCATTTCGCTGCACATATTACAACTGATACTAAAGAAGTTTGTCCGTAAACATGAACTTGTTGAAAATGTAAAACAATATGTTCTGAGACTGCCCCAAAAATTAATAGTATTCTTTTTGTGTATTAAAATTCCATAGCCATATACCGCCGAACACGTGGCGTTTGTGTTTCAAAGCCTCATCCCTCTTATCTCTGTTTGCAGTGTGCGCGAAGTACGGCGAAGCGGTGTGGCAAAACGTCACCACATTCGGACTCCCAAAACAGACGTACCGCGTCGATCTCTGTCGCTTGAGAGATACGCCGTTGGTGACGGGTGGCGAGCAGGCAAAGAAGAGTGAGTTTCCACACATGGTGGGTTTCGTTTCAGAGAGAAGGCATGTTACACACTACTCAAAGTTGAGCATAAGGAGAACCTATCTTTTTTTTCGCGTATAGGCCGACTCGGGCCACGCGTGCGTCCTGCTTCAGCACGTGCAATTACAGTTCGGGGAGGGGGCGAGGTTCAGCATTTTAGCTGACTCCCGATTTTTATCCCCAAGGTTGTTAGGCCTGGAGGTATGGACGATGAGGTAACGATGCTGATAGTGAGGGATGAAAGAACGGCACACACATATAGACATACACAAACCCACCCATACCCGAGACGGGACCCGAACCTGCGGTCTTCTGATCAGAGACCGCTACTTCTCTAACGATCTGGGTCATCTCATGGGTAAGCAGAGCCTATATTATGAGATGAAATATGAAATGCAAATTTGAGTCCCGTGAAATCTATTAACTGGCATGCTCCTCAAGTGGGGACCTTAGATTTTTTTCATTATTGCGTCGTATTGTGTACCATTATTTGAAAATTTTTCTTTCGTCAGTAGATGGGGGCATCCTACATGCAATGTATAAGCTAATATTGGTATTACTGAATGCTAGATGTCGATTTACCCGATATCACTAGAGCATTGTGCGATCCACGCCAGGGTGTATTCACGATTTGCCTCAGTTCGATTTTTCATGTAAAACGGTGCTTAGTTAAATGCCTGTAATTAAGTCGGAGGGAGAGGTCGGAGTAAAATAAACAGTGGTTGATCCACACCTAAACTGACGCGGCATATACAGCAATTCACTTAGGTGTAAGTGGGTTAAGGCAGTTTGATGGAAACAAAGCCACATTTGTTTGTAGAAATGTTGGTATATTATTGGTAATTTTGATGTAAAAATTTTAATTTGATGCATGAAATTATTATTATTAATAATAATAATAACAATAATAATAATAAAAATAATAATAATAATTAATATTTGCTCGGTGTGTGTGTTGAGAGAGAATCCGGAACGCGAGAGGTAGGGCTAGAGGATGGAGCAAAAAGAAAGCACGGGAAGCAAAAGGGACGGGCTAGTGCAAGAGGCAAGTGCGAGAGAGAAAGAAAAGTAGAAAGAGAGAGGAGTGTGAGAGAAAAAGAGAGAGATAGAAAGAGAAAGAGAGGAGAAAGAAAGAGAGAGAAGGAGAAAGGGAGAGAAAGAAAGAGAGGGAGAGAGAGAGAAAGAGAGAGGGAGAGAGAGAGAGAGTGAGAGAGAGAGTGAGAGAGAGAGGGAGAGAGAGAGAGAAATGGGTTTGCGCAGGCGCTGCTAGGCTACGGGGAGTACGCGCAGCAGAACCTGGAGGACATGGAGGAGACGTCGCCGTGGCAGTGCGGGGGCTCCCTCATCAGCGACCGCTTCGTGCTCACCGCCGCCCACTGCGTCGTTCCTGAGTGAGTGCGCTCGCGACCATCTGCGCACGCGCCAACCCATCATCTCAAGCGAACCATTTAACATCAATTGCCACCCCTCAACACAAAATTTTCCTTAACAACTTAACTTACACTCAGCAGACGTCGCAAGGAAATGAACGTTAGGCACTCGCTACGGCACGGACATAAAGCAATCGCTTACAATGGAATGATTAAACGATTATATCAATCCCAAACTCATACTCGCCAATTAAATGATCATTGACCATCACATCAAGCTTACATCGATGCAACAGTGGTTACGGCTTATTTGCCATAAATTGGCAATATCTGTTGGAGGCATATTGTTGGGGGATCGCATGACGTCAGCACGAGCGGGGTACCACAAAAATGCACTTTCGTATTTGCAATTGTCCTCACAGCCTTAGCATAAATTCAGTATTGTTGGTTAAAAGGAGTTATACAATTTCTTGGGAAGGTGGAGTTTTGTTGTTTAGGTAGTTACACATGACATCTATAATCTACGAAACAAACTTACAAATAAAACATGTTTCTGAAATGTTCTCTCCTTTGATGATTTCACGAAATTTTATTTCCCCTTTTCTTCGAACACACTTTTACGACTTGCCTCCCTTTACCCAAGTACCACCGCATTGTCTTTACTTATTCCCCCCCCCTCCCGTGACCCCATGTGCGTGCAGGGCGCCGCGGTGGGTGCGCGTGGGGGAGCTGGTGGTGGGGTCGACGCGCGACAGCCAGCACGAGGACGTGGCGGTGGCGCAGGCGCTCCCGCACCCGGGCTACCGGCGCCCGCGCCTCTACCACGACATCGCGCTGCTGCGCCTGGCGCGCCCGCTCGCCTTCCGCGAGAGCGTCCGCCCCGCGTGCCTCTACGAGCGCCGGCCCGCGCCCGCCACCAAGGCCGTCGCCACCGGCTGGGGCGCCACCGACCGATGTGAGTGCGCCAACTCGCGAATTACTCGGTTACTATAATTAAAGATGTTATCATTGCCAACAATGTTTTTTAATTCAAAAACAGCTTTCGATGGCTTAGCCATCATCATCAGTTGTCTGCTAGATGGAAGCCACGAAACGACTACTCGAGTAGTCGACGAGTAGTCGTTTCGTGGCTTCCATCTAGCAGACAACTGATGATGATGGCTAAGCCATCGAAAGCTGCTTTTGAATTAAAAAACATTGTTGGCAATGACAACATCTTTAATTATTTTAAAAATGCCAAAGATATCCTACCACAACACCTATACTTGGTTACTGTTCACATTATCCAAAACGAGTGGATAATGTTTGAAGTAGGGGCAGCTTCGAGTCATACACTCTACCATTAGCAGATTTATATTCTCTATATTCAAAACGAGTGGATGATATTCAAAGTAGGAAAAGCTTCAAAGCTCATTCTGCTCAAGTTTGAGCTGAATGACGTACTCAACAGCCAGCGCGAGAAGGCTGGAGTTGGTGAATTAAGTTACGGTGATGAGAATTAGAAGACATTAATGTGATAAAAATAATTAGACAGTTAGTGGGAGTTTTAACGCAAGAGAGAAACAAAAAATGTAGTTTTTAGCTCCACGGTGTCTACAATACATTTTTATTTACACAATACCATCTACCTTAACCTAATTCGACAATATACCTCAGTTGACACTCATTTTTGAGTTAGGGGCGAGGCTCCGGGTTTCCAGCTTTGCGATTTATGTAAACATACCTTTTGTATTGAATTATTTACCACAGGTTTTTATGTCAAAAAATTTCTCACGACACTGAAACGGGAATAGCTCTTCGGATGAGCATGTTTTTTCGTAACACCTAGTAGAGATACACTGCTAGTTTCCTTTAAAGACACCAATAATTACAAAAAATAAAATTGCCAATAAATTTGTGTAGTGAGGCCTTTATTAACTGTAAGTAAACATAAATAAGTACTTACTTCATCTAATCGCATGCTCTGTTCTTTTTACTATTTCAGTTAATGTTCTCGAAAAATCAAGGGAATTGATGAAGGTAGTCTTTCCGATTCACGACACAGAAGTTTGCCAGAAAACGTATCCCCCTGATGAAAAACAACCCGAAGGCTTCTTGGGGGAATCTATGGTGTGCGCTGGTTCCTTGAAGTCGGACAAAGACACCTGCAAGGTGAGTGAGAGATTGCGAATGCGTTGGTTTCATACTTGTATTAGAAATATTGCTAAATTAAAAAACACTCTTTAGAATTTGGAGAACTAGTGAACACGAAGGTCCCTCTCGGGTATGCCCTCAGAAATCTGAGCAACTGCTCTAGGTTATAGTGATACGGACAATCAAGAGGCACCATTCTTTGCTTTTACAATTTTCTAGTTTCTAATCCGATGTTTTCTAGCTGTTTCATATTGAAGGTGCACCACAACATGCACGCAACAATCTTGTTTCTCTCCTTTGAGAATTTTGTTTATCACATAAATTATTTTTTCTTCTTTGGATGGAATTAATTGCTATGTCGTTCACGTTGAATTGGTCAAACTTCACTTATGCCAGAAAAAATGTTGCTAAATGAGTACTATGTCATGAATAACTTTCCCTTGCTTACATTAAATACTATTCGTAGGATTGCGTCACTCAACCTACCGGCCTTATATTGCAACCTTTCCTACTCACAAAATAAAATGTCACTTTATCATGACTTTTAAAATGTCACGGTCATCATAAATAACTATTTAAAAGCATATATTTCAGCTTGATAAAAAGGGTTTGCGAAAAACAGGCAATTGAATGAACACACTACTCATTACCTAATTCTTGTTGCCTCTATGTATGCCGTTACTAAGGGAGATTGCGTTCCAGTGAAGCATAATGCAGGGTTTCCGTACGTTTTCGCGAGCTTGTCAATCGTGCTTTCTGAGTTATAAACCTGCCGTCGCCAATACAACCATCAAAGACTCCTCTAAGTATGCGGTGTATGCACAGTGATACACGGTGTACCCGCGGTGATGCCACAATCCGCGCGAATAAAATGATACTCTTCATTATCTAGAGAACGAACCCCAGTGGCTAACATTACACAAAGGAACAAATAAGCCCAGAACTTGGTATAAAATAAAATATAACTAGAAGCTTGCAGCAACCAAAAAGTTTCTTTTAGGTGTGGAAACATAAAGTTTGTGGAAAAGGGGGTCCTGAAACAACAAAAATTGAGTGTTCTGAGACAGTTCACTGAATAGGGAAGTTTCTTCCTCATTGCATGATATACGTTGTTTCGTAAGCAGTAATGAACGTAGTAAAAACCGTCATTGGGCGTCGTCTTACGATCTTCGCCTCCAAGTTCTATCACGACCCTGATGCACGCGTATCAGCCTCCGCTGAGGCTCGTATCCCCTTAGCGGCTCTGAACACACACAACCGCCTGCGACACATGGGCCCGCAGCGACACTTGGAACTGATTAGAGTTGGGAAGGAAAGGCGGCTGGCAGGTGGCGCGCACGTCGTTTTCCTTTGAAAGTGCATGATTTTTCCTGCACGCACACCGACAAAGCGCTTAACCAACTCACTAGGGAGTGGGAAAAGTTATTTTATTAGGTGGTTCATGGTAGCTTAAAAAAGCGCCAAACACTATACAGAAAGCTCAACAATGCCTGTGAGGGACTCAAACCCGTGACTTCCCGAATCAACTTGTGTATTAGCCTCAACTACTGGGCAGGCAGTGTAAGGCCCGGAATGGTAACATAGTCGCCGCATCAGTTATGATAAATTACTGACCAATAAATATTTGAATTTTTCAGTCAAAATAAAAACCATTATTTTTTTGTATTTTCCTACGAGTTCCTCGTTATCTAACAAAACAATAGACACATAGCAAGAAGCTGCATAGTTTTCCTTCAATTTTTTCTCGCAATGAAAATTAAGGAATACGGAACATCACTGTATTCCATGTCTTTAATCATTGGTTTATTAGTACACATCTAAAAATATAATAATTAATGATCACTTGGGTATCACTTCATTCAATAACACTGGATATAATTTTTGTCCTTTAATATATCGTGCTCAATGCAATTTCGATTAAATTTGACAATATAATAGCATTGTTCAGAAGGTATTCAATGATTTTAAACCCAATAGTTTTCCTTCCTCTATCACTGGCAAAGATAAGGTTAAGCAGAAATAAATAAAAGCTGGCTCGATTAGCGCATGCGAATGCTTCTGGAGCGAGAAGTTGAGTCTCCCTTCTGCTGCAGGGCGACTCCGGGGGGCCTCTGCAGGTGCGCCTCGAGCAGCCCTACTGCATGTACGGCCTGGTGGGCTTGACGTCGTTCGGCAAGCACTGCGGCTCCAAGAACCCGGCTGTCTACACGCGCGTGGCGCACTACGTGCCGTGGATCGAGAGCGTCGTGTGGCCCGAGGAGCGGTAGCCCGCAATTGCGCTTCACTCGCGTGGCACATCTCTTCACGTCACTGCAGTGCCTCTGCCCGGTTGGGTCCTGATTTCGAGTCCTGGCGGTGGCAGGATTTTTTTCACTAGCTAAATCGAATTAAACCGCTGTCTGGAGAAGAGTTACGGCGGTTGCCTGCTGTGTCAGTTTTTCGTGGTTTCTCAGATCAACACTAGGCGAATGCCGTAGTGGTACAATAACAAACGGGCCATGGACTGCGCACGACCTTTTCCTCCTCTTCCTTATCATATTCTCAACCTTTACTTACACACACGCACTTATATGAATTACACTACCACAAATGCTGGGAGACCAGTCGGGAGCTTAAAGCTCGTCTCGACTGAGTCAATGCGCTAGCGGGAGATACCTGGATAGAAAAACTCCGCAATCTGGCATGTATGGCGGCGCGTGATATCACTATCCAGCGGGGAAAGGTCTCCGTCACCTCCCGTAATAAAACATTCACTACACTTACGAGTCTAATGCTCTGAGCAGTGACGCGCCCGAAAACATTAATCAATCAATCATTGTGACTCGTCTCCAACCTTGATAAATTCAACATTGATATTTCGAATATTAAAGAAAGAATTATCTAATATTTTGACAATTAATCAGTAAAACGTTTTCCCCCCTTTGGCGTGGGAACGTTTGAATTTCCCGAAATGTTCTGACCTTGGCTGCTCTTTTCGGCCACCACATGATATCATTAACTTTCACATTGTCCAACAACTCGTACCTCTTCCTTCCCCTTTTCTTCGTTCTCAGATTGCGGCGTCAAATCCCTCCTATTATTAACACTTTTTTCGTGACAGTTCTTTTTAAATGATATTCGGTATTGTCTCCCTTTCTCCACCAACCCTTGCCAGTACTTCTTTCTTTAGAATTCCATCATCCCAGTATTTCGTGGAAACGAATTTGGAACAACGTAAGGCAATTCTAAATTCATAATGAAGGTAAAAATGGGAAGAATTAGAGAGAAAAAGAATTGGTGGATTTCAAGGTACTACTTCAGTGACTCAACTAAAAACATGAACTCGAGAGAAAGCTTAATTGATATGAACAAGGACACGTGAATGTGAAGACTTAACTTGCAAGAAGCATCGTGCGCTATTAACAGCACTGTTAAAAAACAATCCTTTCGTTCCATTCACAGTTTCAAGGAATTTCCGTTTTTAATTTGCGCTTCATATACAATGCACTGTATTTATTACATTGAATGGCAAATTCACTCTCCGAGAATACAGGGTTTTATTTTAACATTTTCACAGGTGATTCTCGATGCAAAAAGACCTACCATCGTCAGTTACTTAAAAAGTAAATTATCTACCTTCAATATACGCTATCTCCTCTTTACGGTGTTCCTGAGTATATTACATACCTCGCACAGGATTCTATGAACCAGTATAACTAAAAGCAGAGTCAGAGAACCGCACGGAATTATTTACAGAATATGAGCGAGATTGATGGGAAATATTCGTAGAGATACGAAGCAGAAAAGGAGAATTAAGGCGTTGGTGCATACCCAGTTTTCAGAAGTGTCCTGCCTTCATTCTGATTACGTTTTAGACTTCAGGAAGTTTTTGACGATATTATAGGGTACAGAGCTCTTGAGTTGCCTAACGCTTAGACGCCAGATTTTTCTTTCTTACCTCCTATTTTCTTTATAGAAACAACTACTCCCCTACGTCTGCCAGTGTTTTTTCTGAAGTATATTAAGAATCATTCTGTATGCAATTGTGTTAATAGTTATTTCTTATTGAAAAATAAAATAAAATTGTTTTACCTGACAAAGAGTTTTTATTATGTGTGATATTATTGATTCATGGGAAATTCAAGTCTCGTAAAGAATGCAAAAACTGAACTATTCTTAAGTACTAACCGAGCCTTCTGCTCTTGATGCTCTCTGACACCCACCACAAAGCCAGAACTTACAAACAAAAATAACAAACGCTGTGATGCATTTTCATTTGGTACAAATATTCCATTGTGTGCATTTTAAATGTGGGTGTAAAACAATAGATGAACGTTGATCTAGGTCAATCATATATAACATTTTGAAGTAAACTATTGAACGATATTTAATACGGCATACATTACACAAGCAATGTTTATTAATTTAATAACTCCTTGAGTACGTGTACATCTGGATACAAATTATTTCACTACACGAGAGTCGATAGGTTTAGTAATGATTATCGCAAGAGAAAATGACAATATCAAGAATATCCGTTTGATAATTATAATCGAAATTCACGAAATCTCCCTCTTCACTAATCACGATTTACTGTAATCATTCTCCAGCTCAATACTCTCATTAACAATAACGCGCTACTTTCAGTTTTCCGCGCTACAATGAGGAAAATTACGCGGCAGAACAAAGAATGCATTTACAAGCAAATCATCCATCTCTACCGCGCCTTCTCCCGTTGTGGTTGTGCAGATAGTGAAAGAGGAGAGGAAAACACAATGTTTAAAATAAGTGTTGTGGTAGAATTTCCACGCATCGACGCCGGTGAGGAAACGGCTGAGCGGAAAAGTCTGCGGAGGGGAAATCGCGAACAGGACAGAGCGAAACCAAACGGACGGGAAAATGAGTGTATAGTTGCGAGATACGAAGAAGAATGCCAGTGGGTATCTCAGATATAATTAAACTATTAAAGATTAAACTTGGAACAACTAAATTTCATTTCTTTATTTCTTTTCGTCATCTTAACAGAATTACATTCGACTGTGGTTTATTCTGTTCGTGGGTGGACAATATAGACTTAAGTGGAACGTTACGTCACCCACAACGACCAGTACGCGGTACAAACAGATCGAATATGACTGAGTTCTGCTTCGGTTTTATTTAGAAATTTTAACTTAAAAGACTTTTATTTTTGTGTTTATGATGTATGTTGTTGGATTATGTAATGTATTTATGATGTATATTGTTATGTTTGTGAGGTAATATTGTTTAAAATACATCTACAATGTGCACTACGTTCAACTGGAAAATTAACAAAGACGAAAAAGTCAACCATATCCATGTCTTAAAATATTTTTTGGAGTATCAGTGTGTTCTGTCAATGTGATGCTTTTGTAGGTAAGTATTCATGGTAAAGTTATAACGTTCGGAGGGTATATAGAAGTAGGTAATAGTTTGTATTTGCAAGCAGAGCATCAAAAATATATAGGACGAAAAGTGAATTATTTTGTACATTATGATAAAAGAAATCAGGCAGGTGCACACAAACGTTCCCGCAGTACAAAACATGCATGTAGCGTTTCCTTGATGTACCATTTGAAAATGATGAGCTTTCGAGTACTGCTGAGAGGGAAGCGTAATTATGATTTGAGGTGACTGTCAACAAAATAAGATTTTTAGAAACTTAAGACATTTTTGGATATATACGTCTTCTGAGCACACCTGGTTCATTGAAGTAGTTCCACTAGGTGGAGGAAAATTTCAGAATCTCGAAGTCTTTGTATAAGTATATTTGTTTTTCTTATTACAAGTAATCGGCCACACCGTTCTAAGTCCTAAGCGTAGGTATGTATACGCGTAGCGAATGTTAAACATGCGTGTTAAACCACGTGTAGCAATGTTAAAATGGTTAACCACATGTAATATTTTTCGGCAATCTAAGTTTGTTTTCACTATTTTCACATTAGAAACTCTGATTTGCAAAGAATGGAGTATTAACACGGGTTCAAAAAGCAATAAGCTAAATGACATGTCATTTGATGAAAAATGACATTATGCCATTTAAACAAACCAAAGCCAGGAAACAAAGAAGCATGTTAGATACCATTTATTACTTAATCTCATCATTTCGTAGACTTTGCTTCCACTTCCTCAGGATCATCAGTGGAGCTTAAAAGTAATAAAAGAAACAGAAAAAACTTATCACTACTTAAAAAAATTGTACACTTGAAAAATAAACAACAGACTTAACATAATTTTATGTTCAAAACTCGAAACAGTTTTAACAAAAATGTTCTCCAAAACATTTTCTTCAAGGAACACATGTGGAAGAACTATCTGAAAGTCGTGGTGACGCGAGAGGAATTAGAGATCGAGACGTTGCATAGAAGGGTGGAGGAGAAGATGCGCAAGTAGTCACGATGTTCAGAAAGCCAGCGGGCGGGCGGGCGTTCTTCAAGTGGTGGCCCGTGGCCTCGACTCAGCATGGGGGAAGGATACGCCGCTGTTCTGCTGGTTCGTTTTGGCAACGCGCTACGACGCAGCGAGAAGGCGTAGGTAGGTTGCACATGTCTACATGAGTTCGCATGAGTGTTTCCGGCTACGAGGCGCAACCCTTCCGGTATCCTCGTTAATACAACGGTTACTGATGCGTTCACAGGACTGCCAACATTTAAGTTAATAAGTGTGTAAATGAATCTAGCTAATGTAACCTACATGAGGAATGCTCAATTGAGAAAATTAAAAATATCATTTACATATTAAAATTTGCCTATAATAAAACTACTTCCGCTATTCCTGTTGTAGTTATTCTGCTATTAATAATAAATAAGTTTGATATGATATTCGAGGTAAATTTACAGGCAGTGCAAGAATAATTTTATTCCAAAATAGATGATTATGATTTAAGTTAAAGCAATTGAATTGATATACACAAAGGTCTAAGTGCTAAAAAAACGACATAAAACATACCAGGAAAACTTATTAAACAACGAGCCGATTATATATTCAAATTAAGTACAACCAATTTTCCTGAAATGAAATACGTGAAGAATGCTTCAGGAAACATTGAAATCAGGATAAAGGAAATGCATACTTCTTGCTTAATAACGCAACTCACCTGCAAACTGTCTCTTATTATTCCTCTAAATTCTTTGCACAATAAGGTAATATAAACGTCCTTACATAAATATTCCAGAAATATAATAGTGGTAAAATTATTTTTTTTATTCATATTATGGATTCATTAATCAGAGAGTTTGTAACAATAAAAATTTCCCATATTACTCCAACTTAGTTGCTTAACAATAAAATAGTTTTATTATGCCATTATATTTAAAAACGTAACAAAACAAATTAAATTTTTATCAAAAAAAATCTAAATCGTTATTTAATTAAAATAACAACACCAGAAAATTAATGTGACTAAGAAAATAAGCAAAAAAATAAGCTACAATATAGGTACCCATGTTCACTTATGTAAAGAATGGAATGCATGAGCACTGGATACTATTTGAAATGCTGAAATGCTAAAAGGAATAATAACCCAAGTAAATGGCGTGTTTAATAGCTTAATACGTCGGTAAAAATGTGCAAGTATGAAGCCGTTCACACAACAGAAAAGCAACAATTATCTAAATTTCCAAAAAATTGATTATGACTGCCTTTCAAAACCAATAGAAATAATGGAACACAATAAAATATGTCAATATTTTAACTGACAGTTGACAAACATTTATTACGCTTAACGGGTCAAGAAATTTCAGAACTGCACATATATAATGCCTCAATAAATTGGACAAAACAAATATTGATAAAATTGCTCCCCTGTTGTGCCAATTCAGCAACTGATACGGAAATGAAACAAAGAGTATACACAAATTCAATAAAACTAAATTCTTCAAAAACTCTACATCATTAAACCTCAACTCAATCAACAAATCAACTCCTGCTCATTGGCATCCAGAAATGGTAACTACATATTCCCAATGGAAAGAATGAGACCATCTTCCTGTGCGACATGAAGGGTCGGGAATTGAAGGGTGCCAACGATTTTCAAATAAGCGTACACATTGCCAGGGACAATTGTATTACAGATATATAGCGATACATGAATATAACAAATCCGATTCTTACGAGTAATTACAACAGGACCTTAAATGACCATGGTCGGTGTGAAAGATAATATGAAATGTGAAGAATTGTATTCTCATTTAACTGATATAGGAGTATAGTAAAAATGTAGGCGAGTCGAGACTTTTACGATAAAAATATCGCAAACCCCGGCGCTAAACAATTGGTGAGTATGGTTTTCGTTAAACGGAGGAGCAAGAAGGAGGTGCGTTACGTGAGACTACTAAATAATTCACATAACATAGCAAATGAAACTGAATCTGAGTAAACAATTACCTTCATGAAATTATTATAAATTTACTCGGGAGTACAAACCGATAACGTTGAATTTTCAAAGATCAGTAACGTTTGACTCTAATTATTCACCTAATTTTAGCGGGGTGGACAAGAGAACTCATTTGGGAGATAATTAATGTGATCTTTGGAAGTTGTTATATTCAATGGATTGCTGTAACGTGAATAATCAGATAATTCGAGTATCTTGTTAGTTGAATGATTTAATACAATAAATGTAATTGCTTTGTAACACACACATGCGGCCCGGAAGTCGCAAAGAAGAGAGAACCCAGAGTAATACATACATTCATAAAAGAGACCAATTGGGTTCACTGCATCTTGGGAACGGTACATCTGAGCGTCCAACTGATTCACTCAATAGAAGACGGCAATTCAGGGTACGGGAGACGCCGTTAGGCCTGGAACGGATTGAGGGTACTTAGAAATGATTATAATCAACAAACTTTTTTGGTGTCTTACCGTCCGGCAACACATTCACCATCCGCGACGACAACAATTTCCATTCACAACTTCGTGGCAAGAAAAACTTCCGTGCCGTGAAACGACTATTCCAACAGACGAATTCAGGGCAAAACTCAAAAAAATCGTTTTCCAATAGACCACTGTCCACAGATCGAAAGCAATCATTTGTTGGCCAGACACGAAACGGATACGATTATATAATGTAATGTGCATGTG